TGTATGGACGAAAACTTTTTTTTTTTTTTTTTTGAGATGGAGTCTTGCTCTGTCGCACAATCTGAAGTACAGTAGCACAACCTCGGCTCACTGCAACCTCCACCTCCTAGGTTCAAGAGATCCTCCTGCCTCAGCCTCCTGAGTAGCTGAGTTTTTTTGTTTTTTTTTTTTTGAGATGGAGTCTCGATCTGTGGCACAGCCTGCAGTACAGTGGCGCAGTCCTGGCTCACTGTAACCTCTGCCTCCCGGATTCAAGTGATTCTCCTACTTCAGCCTCCCAAGTAGCTGGGATTGTAGGCGCGTGCTACCACACCCGGCTAATTTTTGTATTTTTAGTAGAGACAAGGTTTCACCATGTTGACCAGGCTGGTGTCGAACTCCTGACCTCAGGTGATCTGCCCGCCTCAGCCTCCCAAAGTGCTGGGATTACAGGCATGAGCGACCGCGCCCAGCTGGATTTTTGTATTTTTTGTAGAGTGGGCGTTTCACCACGTTGGCCAGGCTGGTCTTGAACTCTTGACCTCAAGTGATCTGCCCACCTCAGCCTCCCAAAGTGTTGGGATTACAGGTGTGAGCCACTGTGCCTGGCTGGAAAACATTAAAATATATATATTTTTAAAGGGATTCCATCTACTTTGTTGTTATGGAGATCCAGAACCCAGTGAAAGCCTGTCTATCATGTTTGTGGAAAGTGCAGTTGGAGTCAAAGCCTAGTCCAGTCCAATTGCCTTTACTTGCTGGTAGTGTCAAGCTGCTTTTGTTGATTTATATATTTATTTAGAGGCAGGGTCTCGCTCTTTCACCCAGGCTGGAGTGCAGTGGTGCAGTCACAGCTCACTGCAGCGTCAACATCTTGGGCTCAAGGGGTCCTTCTGTCTCAGCCTCAGCCTTCTGAGTAGCTAGGACTACAGGTGCACGCCACCATGCCCCGCTAATTTTTAAATTATTATTTGTAGAGAGAGAGTCTCAGTATGTTGCCCGGGCTGGTCTCAAACTCCCGGGCTCAAGCCATCCTCCCACCTTCGCTTCTCAGAGCGCTGGGATCATAGCACCACATCCAGCCTATCGAGATTTTTTTTTGAGTCCGAGTCTTGCTCTGTTGCCAGGCTGGAGTGCAGTCATGCAATCTCAGCTCACTGTAACCGCCGCCTCCTGGGTTCAAGCGATTCTCATCCCTCAGCCTCCCGAGTAGCTGGGATTACAGGCGCATGCCATCACACCTGGCTAATTTTTGTATTAGATGGTTTTTAAAGGCCACTGCTTCTTCCGTGTTCTGCACCAGGTCTGGGAATGTTCTCAGCTCACCTAGTCATGTTCAGAACGGACAAATCCCTTAGTGGAAGCAGACACGGTTTCTCAGGACCGTGATCCTTTCGAGGCACGTGCACATGCTTTCTTTCTTTTATTATTATCTTTTTTCGAGACGGAGTCTCACTCTGTCACCGAGGCTGGAGTGCAGTGGCACAATCTTGGCTCACTACAACCTCCGCCTCCCGGGTTCAAGTGATTCTCCTGCCCCAGCCTCCCAAGTGTCTGGGACTACAGGTACCCGCTGCCACGCCTGGCTAATTTTCATATTTTTAATAGAGGCATGGTTTTGCCATGTTGGCCAGGCTGGTCTTGAACTTCTGACCTGAAGTGATCCACCCGCCTCGGCCTCCCAAAGTACTGGGATTACAGATGTGAGCCACTGTCCCTGGCCAAATGCTTTCATTTCTTTAAAAATCAGAGGGAAAGGAATGAATATAATCCAGTCTACATTGTGTATGTCCTTATACCAGTACATTTGTGGGATACAATTTTTAGGGGTTTTTTTATGAAGAAGTAGTTCCCAAGGCAGATGTGTCTGGGGCTTGTGAGAATTCATCCTGCAGTCCTCCATGTCCGTGTCCTAGTGTTTCGCTGCTAGGAATCCCTCCTGGGCAGAGGTAGGATCTAAAGGTGTGACTGCTGAGGAAGTAGGTGGGCTCTTTTGTTTGTTTGTTTTGGTTTGGTTTTTGTTGTTGTTGTTGTTGTTGTTTTGAGATGGAGTCTGTGTCTGTTGCCCAGGCTGGAGTGCAGTCGTGCGATCTCGGCTCACTGCAACCTCCACCTCCTGGGTTCAAGCGATTCTCCTGCCTCAGCCTCCAGAGTAGCTGGGATCACAGGCATGTGTCACCATGCCCAGCTAATTTTTGTATTTTTAGTAGAGATGGGGTTTCACCATGTTGTCCAAGCTGGTCTCCAACTCCTGGCCTCAAGTGATCCCCCCACCTCAGCCTTCCAAAGTGCTGGGATTTCAGGCATGAGCCATGGCGCCTGGCCTGGTCTGTTCTGAATGCAGATCTAAACCCCCTGCAGGTAACCTGGATGAGGACATCATCGCAGAAGAGAACATCGTTTCCCGAAGTGAGTTCCCAGAGAGTTGGCTGTGGAAGATTGAAGAGTTGAAAGAGGCACCGAAAAACGGGTAAGGCCGGGGTAACCCCCCATGCAATCCACCCCACAGCCAGACCATTTAATTTGCATGCACCTGCTATCTCTTGTCTTCTCTGGAATCACAGTGCAACCCCACAGCCCAACCTAGAAAAATCATTTGTTGGGTTACCTACATGGAGGCACCCCCAGACCCTTCCAGCCTGTTCCTCGGGATCCCTCTGCCCCCGCTCTCCCCCTCTACCACCCTGCTAGATGACGTTTCCTAATGCCCCAAACTCTTCTCCATCCAGAATCTCCACGAAGCTCATGAATATATTTTTGAAAGACTCCATCACCACGTGGGAGATTCTGGCCGTGAGCTTGTCAGACAAGAAAGGTGAGCGAGGGTGCTGGCTGGTCCCAGGGAGGCAGGGACCCCAGGGTGTCTAAGTGTCATCTCATTTTATCCAAACTCATTTTATCCAAACCTATGTTTCTTGGCACTTTATTCTCTGTCCTGGTTACCACAGAGGTGTTATTATCAGGAACTGCAGGAATCCTTAGTTCTTGTCTAACTTGGAAGAAAGAATTCAGCCAAGAGATGCATAGCAAGGGTTAAGTGGCAGAGTTTATTGAAGGAAGAAACAGCTCTGGTCTGGTCCCCCTGGAAAAATAGTAGTCTCAATGCTTATGTAAAGAGACAGGGCCAGGCTCGGTGGCTCACACCTGTAATCCCAGCAATTTGGGAGGCCGAGGCAGGGGAATCACTTTCAGGTCAGGAGTTCAAGACCAGCCTGGCCAACGCGGTGAAACCCCGTCTCTACTAAAAATACTAAACAATTAGCCAGGCAGGGGGTGGCGAGCACCTGTAATCTCAGCTACTCAGGAGGCTGAGGCAGGAGATTCGCTTGAACCCGGGAGGTGGAGGTTGCGGTGAGCCGAGATTGTGCCACTGCACTCTAGCCTGGGCAACAAGAGTGAAACTCCTTCTCTAAATAAATAAAAAGTGTCAGTATGCTCTGAACGATGACACAGACATGGCTGCTCGAGAGAATGAGCCAGCAGCAGATACTGCTGGTGGACTCTTTTTATGAGACTCTTACATGATTTTTCATGAAGGGGCATGAGGGGGTGTCACTTGCAGGCATGTTTTGGGAGGTCTTTGTGGGCGAGCAGGCTCTGTGACTGTACGTGCTAGCGTGCACGCGGCACATCTCATTAGCGTCTAAAATCTCCACCCAGGGTGTGTTTTTACCTATGATAATGAGCAAAAGACGACTCTAGGGTGGGTTTTCGGAGCAGTGCACATGCTCGTCATCAGGGAAAATCCCTAGCAGGGTTATTTCCAGCTAGGACCTGATAAGTCCCCTTCAGGGCTGGAGGACCCCAACCACAAGGCCACATGTAGCTAATGCAGCTGTCGTCCTTTCGCTGACTGCCAGTGAGCAGCGCTATCAGTAGGCAGCCTGCCTGGGACTTCTCTTCCCAGAAAGCTCCCCTGCCTGCTCATTTCCGCCTATCTGCCTACTCTAACAGTGTCAAAAGCTAGACAGGGTGGGGGTACCATCTCTAACATTGACGCTTTTCTTCTTTCTTTCTTTCTTTCTTTCTCCTTTTCTTTTCTCTTCTCTTCTCTTCTCTTTTCTTTTCTTTTTTTTTTTTGAAGGAGTCTCGCTCTGTCACCCAGGCTGGAGCGCAGTGGCACGATCTCAGCTCACTGCAACCTCCTCCTCCCAGGTTCAAGCGATTCTCCTGTCTCAGCCTCCCCAATAGCTGAGATTACAGGCACCCACCACCATGCCCGGCTAATTTTTGTAATTTTAGTAGAGATGGGGTTTCACCGTGTTGGCCAGGCTGGTCTCGAACTCCTGACCTCAAGTGATCCACCGACCTTGGCCTCCCAAAGTGCTGGGATTACAGGCATGAGCCACTGCGGTGATTTTCTTTTAGTGCACTTTATTGTTGAGAGTCTTTTCGGTTCACAGCATAATTCAGGGGAAAGTACAGAGACTCCCCACATATCCCCAGTCCCCACACATTGACAGCCTCCCCCACTGCCAGCACCCCCAGTGGAGCAGTGCACCTCCAGGACACAGCACTTCCACCCTAAGTTCCAAGTTTCACATGAGAGTGTTGTACATTCTGTGGGTTTGGATCAGTGGATGAAGATAGGAGTCCAGCATGCCGTGACAGTGTTACAGAGGCAGTTACAAGAGAAACTTTTCAGAGGTGATGTGGACATGAGAGAGCGCAAAGTGATTCAGAAAAGATACATGAGGGGCCGGAGGCAGTGGCTCACCCCTGTAATCCCGGCACTTTGGGAGGCTGAGATGGGCAGATCACCTGAGGTCAGGAGTTCGAGACCAGCCTGGGTAACGTGGCAAAACCCCATCGCTACTGAAAATGCAATAAATTAGCCGGGTGTTGTGGCAGGCACTTGTAGTCCCAGCTACTCAGGAGGCTGATTCAGCAGAATCGCTTGAACCCAGGAGGCAGAGATTGCCGTGAGCCGAGATCGCACCACTGCACTCATGCCTGGGTGACAGAGCAAGCCTATCTCAAAAAGGCAAAAAAGAAAAGATACAAATACAAAAGGAAGCAGGATGAAACACGTGATTAACACATTGGTGGTCAGACTGTGCAACATGACAAACTGGGGACAAGGGGTGGCCCATTCCTAAGTACTTGTCCTCTCCCTGCCATCTACAGCCTGATGTGAGACCCTGGCTAGCTCTGGTCAGGTACAGATGGCTGACAGCAAGGCAGGTGAAGAGAGTGAGGCACTGTCCTCAGGCACAAAATTTAAGAGTATGCCAAAATAGTAACCGCCCACCCCCAAAAAAATTATATTAGTGTAGTGTGGGAAATTTTTGCGTTTTTTTTGTTGTTGTTGTTGAGACAGAGTCTCGCTTTGTCGCCCAGACTGGAGTGCAGTGGCCGGATCTCAGCTCACTGCAAGCTCCGCCTCCCGGGTTCACGCCATTCTCCTGCCTCAGCCTCCCGAGTAGCTGGGACTACAGGCG